TCTCTCGCTCATCAGCAGAGGCGGAGTATCGGGCACTAGCACTTGGCACATGTGAAATTATCTGACTACGATCGATTTTTGGTGAGTTGAAATTTTCAGTGACTTCTTCATCTACATTATATTGTGATAATCGATCTGCTATTCAGCTTGCTTCTGACTCAGTATTATACGAGAGGACGAAGCATATAGAGATCGATGTTCACTTTCTTTGAGAGAAGGTTAACAGTGGTATTGTCACTCCATCGTTTGTGAGGACCAGTGATCAGGTTGCAGATGTTTTTACCAAACCTGTCACTTTATCCATTCTTCGAAACTCGGTTGTCAAGCTTGGCTTAGTTGACATTTTTGTGCCTATCTTGAGGGGGAGTGTTGAAGATATAGCAACAGCCTAGTTTATTAGGGCTTATTAAGTTTTCTCTTTTTACTTTTTTATCCTTATTGTAATTTTCATTGGCTATATATACGGGGCTCTACACTTAGTTTGTATCCCTTTTTCACTCACATATATCTCTTGTCACCAAAAATCAACTTTAGCACCATTCCCCACTATCATTTGCCTATTTGCGTATTTGTGACCACTTCCTCAAACCGTGGCAATAGATTCCTATAGCTCCTTGAATAGGAATGTTTTAAACTTCTTAACATATGCTGCTGACGAAGATATTTAACAGAAAAAATCCTAGACCATAAAGATGATCCATTCAGCAAATTCCAAACTTGCTTCATACGAAGCGCATGACAAACATCCTAAAACTTCCTCAATCCAAGACCTCCCTCCTCCTTTTGAACAGTTAGCTTAGCCCATGAACACCAACGTCTCTTCCTTACTGCTGCTTTGCTAGACCAAATAAAAGATGCCATAATAGAATTCATTCGAACAATAATGCCCTTTGGTAAATTCATACAAGCTAATAGATACACAGGTATTGCACTGAGAACAGATTGAACCAGTACAACCCTTCCAGTCTTGATCTAAACTTCTGCAACAAATCCTCATAATAAATCAACTTTGGCCTGCCCTTTATAACTGGACACCCTAAATATGTAAAAGGACATTTTTGAATGGGAATTTGAGCAGCTCGGTTCAACACTCCTCTTCTTGCATGAGATATGTTAGATGAGCAATACATAGCACTTTTAAACAAATTCACCTTTTGCCCAGCGGCAGCCTCATATCTTGAAATAAATGAAAACAAATTAACCATGGAACACTTATCACCTCTCAAGAAAACCAAGGTGTCATCAGCAAACAATAAATGACTTAATAATACAGTTCCTCCTCCTGTATGAAAATGTTTGACCAACCCTCTCTGATACATATCTCGTAATCCTCTACTCATGACTTCCTCTGCTAAAATAAAGAGATTGGGGACAATGGATCCCCTTGCCTCACGCCCATTGTTGTATTGAAAAAACTATATCTTTTGCCAGTCACAACCAATGTAGCATATTGATTTTGTAGACAGTTAGAAATAATTGAAACGTTAACTCAAGAAATACCAAATGCAGACAATGTCCTCTTTAAAAAATCTCATTCTAACCTGTCAAAGGCCTTCATCATATCAAGCTTCAGAATCACATTACCTAAGAGACAGCAAAGTAACATTTACTGACCTTGGAATAATTCCTCCCTCCAAGAAAAAATTCACAGCAAGTAGAATATCATCTTTGACAATTTCCCATGAGGATTGGAAAAATTTCCCAGAGAAGCCATCAACTCCAGGTGCACTCTCCACTGGCATAGCAAAGACAGCATCATGAACTTCCTCCATAGTTGCCTGAGCAGTAAGCATAGCATTATCTTCATCAGTAACCAAGGATGGTATTACAGAAAATAATTCCTCATCAAGAGCATGAGACTCTGACTTATATAGCTTGGAGAAACACTGTTCAGCACAAAGAGCCATCTGTTGCTCATCCTCCAACCAAACACCATCATCATTCTTAATTTTACTAAGCTTATTTCTGACTGATTTCCCCTTAGCCACCGCATGATAAAGTTTTGTATTTCTCTCACCCTCCAATGCCCATTTTATGTTTGCTTTTTGCTTCCAATACAATTCTTCTAATCTTAAAGTATTCTCCAGCTGCTCATGAACTTGACAATTATGCTCAGATGGGTCATGATCCATATCCATTTCAGCTTCCAATAGCTTCTCTTCTTGAAACTTTATTCTTTCAAAGATGTTTCCAAAAAAATTCTTATTCCACCACCTTAGATGAGCCTCCATATTCTTAAGCCTTAAGAATAAATTCTGGATTGGGTTGTCTGAGAAATGCCCACACCATTTCTGCTTAACTAAATGCAAAAATGAAGGATGCTCCACCCACATATCCAAAAACTTAAAATAAGAAATTCTGGGCTGCTGCGTACATTCAATTATCTTAACATGCAAAGGACAGTGATCTGATTTAGCTCTAGCAAGATGATTTACCTCCGTACCTTCAAACGCAAGATTCCATTCTGTATTAATGAAAGCTCGATCCAGTCTCTGCCACATCCTTGTTCTATCTTGATGGTTATTACACCATGTGAAGCTATTGCCATTAAATCCACAGTCTAACAGGCCAGCAGAATTCATGAACCCATTAAAATCATCCATCGATGGAAAACCTGGCACAGCTCCTCCCATACGTTCTGCTGAAGTAAGAATAGCATTAAAATCCCCTATAATCATCCATGGCTGTGCAGTGATGTTTAGCTGTATTAAATGCTCCCAAAGTGGCCTTCTCAACAAGTGATCACAATATGCATATACTAGAGTTAGAACAAAAGAAACTGAATTTGAAGAAGTTACTTGAACCGTCAAAGATTGTTCATAAACATCCATAACTTTAACATCCAGTCTATGATCCCAAAGCAGCCATATATTCTTCTCTGCTAATGGGTTAGCCATAAAAGAATTCATATTCAAAATCGAGGATAAACCTGGCAACCGCAACGGGTCTTGCTTAGGTTCTAGGATAGAGACTAGACAAATATCCTTGGATCTAATGAGTTTCTTGAGGCGCCTCCTTGAAGCATCCTTTCTAGCACCTCGAATATTCCACAAGAGAAAATTAATCATTGAGAAGATGAAGTGAAGGCCAAACCCCTAGATTTAGATCTAGTAACCACACCAGGAGGATTTGCATCCTCTGAATGAATACCGTCTGAACGAAATTCAACTTGGGAACTGGGAGAAAAAATCTCAAGGCTATCTGCACTATTGGGTATATCATTTTCTGAATCAAAACCCCTATCTGGAGGATCTGGATTTCTCAGCAAACCCCTCTCATCATCCATAGATAATCCATCTGCATTTCTTTTCTCATAATTACGGTCAATTAAAAAGGAAGAGTCCAACAGAGAAGTAGATGACTGCCTATTTAGTTGACAGAGAAGTGGTGAACTGTGCTTTTCATTACAAATTTGTACCTCTGACATAGAGCAAATCTCATTAACAGTTGGGCTGATTACCTTCGAATGATTAATCTTATCTTGCATTCCATAAGAAGTTTGGACTTGAGAAATATTCTGCATCAAATCTGATGGTGATGAAATCTCGTTAGAGACTGTTTTGGTGGCATTTAAATTATCCAAATCTTGCAACTCATGCTCTCCATGTGCTTGAAATAAATTCTGTTCCTGAGCAGTTGTGTTTTGATCCTTCTGAATCACTACACCAACGTCTGCGACCGACCGCAATTCCTCACCTTGATGAACTTGTTGCTTGGTCAAATCCTGTACTACATTTGGTTCAGACTGATTCATCTGCAACACTGCATCAACCCCTGCAATAGGATTTACTCCTTTTCGCTGCTGTGACGGTCATCCATGATAACATGCTGCTGTCCAGTTTCCTTATTTTTGGTACCCAGATTAATGGGTTCCAAACCCATCTCTTTATTTGTTTCCTTGGATTGCTGTGTATTCAACGCCTTCCACTGTCCACCTGAAAAAACAGCCTTAGGCATTGAACTTGTGGCTTTGATACCTTAGTCTCTTCTCCAATCTTTTCCTTCCCCTTTCTTTTTCTTTCCTCATCCTGAAAATCTAAATTCTGATCTGGGTCTGCTGGCTTCTTCTTTCTGCATTCTGAACTCTTATGACCTTGTTTGAAACAATTTGAACAATACTTGACTTCTTTCTCATAAACAATCTTCTGCCATCTACCCTTATAACCACCCATCTCCAACCATATTCGATGCGGATTATCTTCCATCAAATCCATCTCCACGCAAGCTCTTGCCACAGCAGGCCTTGTAAGGTTCATAGTAGGTCTATCAAAAGCCAATATTCTTCCTACTGGGCTCAAGATTGCTGCTATACATTCATTCGTGAAAAGACACATTGGCAACAAAGGCAAAGATACCCACATAGGAACCACAAAAGGCTCCACTCCAGGAACAAAATCCGGAATCCACTTAAAAAATCGAAACATATGTCCTTCAATATAGGGAACATCCTTGAGCCATACCTTCACATAATCTTCAAAAAGTGAGAATCTCATAACTATATGCCTTGCATCCAGATGTCCAACAAAGAACTCTCCCTTAATACTCCACTTGGTGTTGATGAATCAAAGATTGCTGAAAAGGCTTCTCAAGATCACTCATCTCCTCCTTGGACCAGAAAACTATATGCTGACCTTTATCAAAATCTGCTTTTTTTGGCTTCTTGGGTTGTGAATCATTCGTTTGTTTGGGATTTTGATCTGCTATAGGTTTGTAAAAAGATGTAATTTGTGGTTGTTGAACTATTGATGCATAGGTTTTTGGTTTATCCTGTGGATCAGGTGGTTTTGGTTGTTCTAGGTAAGGTTGGCTGATACTCATGAAGAAAGAAATTCTAGAGAGAAGTCAGAGCTTCTCTCTCTAGAATAGAAAAAAATGTAAACCCCCAAAACCCTTTTTTTTTTTTTTTAAAAAAAAAAAAGACAAATACCATTAATATAAACCATGAGTACAAGAAGCAAAGCTTTAATAGCAGAGGAAAAGCCGTAGTTGGCTTTAATCCTTCAAAATAAAAGGCAAAGAAAACTTCTACATATGTCAAAGGCGCAAAGGATCAGCTGAATGGGCACAAAAGCATGAAAAACGGCTGGAAAACGAGCTGGAGAAGCATTAAAACCAGCTGAGCTGGACCGATGAGCACCATTAAATCCACCAGAAGAGCTGAAATCCACCTGAGAAAACAACTGAAACCAGCTGCACTGAACCAATTGAGCACCAACAGAAACAGCACTAGACAGCAGAGAGTGGGCCATGAAAATAGCGCAAGGAGTCCATCCATGATCCATAAAAGGCAACAAAGTAAGAAAACCACCAGCTGAAACCTGGACCAGCAAAAAGGCGCAAAAAAGCAAGAAAACCAACTGAGAATACAGCTTGAAATCCATGTGACCAGCTGAAATCCAGCTGAGATGAAACGTGGAGCACCAGCTGAAGCAGCATAAAGAAAAGACTGGACTGTTCCCGTGAACAGTCACGTGAACAGTCCCCAACAATCAAAACCCACAGCTGCATAGAGAACATTGCAACCAAACAGCCCCCTGCACGCCGGATGGACCCAGCTGCAATTCAGCTTAAAAGACACCAGCAGCACAGAACTGTTGATCACAACAGAACAGCACAAGACAACAGCAACCAAGATAACCACCATCACAAACATCCCAGCGCAGTAGCAACATAACCAGCCCATAACATTGAAAGCACAAAACCATCAGCAGCAGCAACCAAACAGAGCACGTAAACAGTGCCCATCAAGCCAAAACCCACAGCTGCGACAGACGCCTTCATAGAGAGCAACAGAAGGCACAAAAGTGACATAAAAACCAGCTGAACAGCAGCTGAAAAATCAGCAGGAATCCCAGCTGAAATCAGGTGAACCAAGCCATAAATGCGCCAGCTGAAGAGGAGGAACAATGCTGAAAAAGCCAGCTGCAGCAGCAGCCATTCGCGTGAGCAGTCGCTTGAAATTCAGCTACAAAAGGAAAAGCAGAAAAGGCAGCTGGAAAACCATGAGAAAAAACAGCTGGGAGCCCGCTGAGATCCAGTTGAGGCAATAAGGAAAGCAGCAGCAGGAACCGAGGAAATAACCAAAAAAACAGCTGTAAAAACAGCAGCTGCAGCATCTGGACTGTACACGTGAACAGTCGCGTGAAGAGTCCCCTTCTGATCAGAGCTCACAGCTGCAAAGAAAATATTGCGGCCAAGACCACCAAGGTACACCAAACAAACAAGCTGCCAGAAAAGCAGGATCCCACAGCCCCCAGCACACCAGAAAAAACCATCATAAGGGCAACAATATAGACAAAAAGCCAGCTGAGCAGATCAATGAACTTGAACAGTGACAGCCATAGCAAATGCCCCAGTACATGAAGCCCCCAGCCCAACCAAAATACCACCCAACGCATGATAGACCCATAATATAAGCAACAAGATTCAGAAAATAGCCCACTTTCTCCTTGCCGTTTTTACACCTTGTTGATCCTGCTTCATAATTTGTATGCCTTGGAATGGGATCTTCAAATCTTCAGAAAAATCTGAAGAGGAACCATCCTTAATTGCCAAGTTAGCAAAAAAATCAGCCAGAAAATTTGCTTCCCTGTATACGTGAACAAAGTTGAAATTCATCCGCGCCAATAATCCCATAATTTCATCGCAAAGTGCCCAATATTTCCAAGCCCTCTTATGCCCCTTCATCACCATCTGAACCACCACCTCGGAGTCAGCCTCAATCTGAAGGAAGTAGTCAATCAGGCCATAACTTACGAACAGTAAAAGACCATCCTTCAAGGCACGCAATTCAGCCTCCATGTTAGAGCAGAAACCATAGAAAAAGGAGGCAGCCAAGACTAACTGACCCCATTCATTCCTAACCACAGCACCGCCCCCAGCTCTACCAGGATTGCCCTTTGATGCACCATCAACATTAAGTTTTAAGTGACCAGAATTAGGAGGAGACCAGTTGACCCAAACGACCTGCAGTTTCAGCTCAAGCCTCGCCTCAACCTTTAAGGCCTGCAGAAGCTCCTTGCCCATAATTCCCTCCGTTGCATTGGGTCTAATACCATGAGCTTGCAACGTAAGGCAGAACAAACACTCAAAAAAACACCATGGGCAGACAAGGGATTCTCCTCATAAATTCTTTGCACCTTTCCCTCCATAATTTCCAAAAGACAACCAAAGAAACACTTCTTAATAAGCTGTGACTGATGTGTTTCTTAAAGATACGTACCATCCTCATCAAACGAATCATAGGGGATTCAGACGCATAGATTTGAAAGCCACAGAACTCAGCAAGCTTCCTCCAGACCTCTTTAGCAAAAGAGCAATGCACAAAGAGATGGGAAGTAGACTCCACATCCTAGCAACAGAGGGGGGATCTACTAGCCAATTCTACGCCAATTGTAACACCCCCCCCCCACTACCCAGCAAGATATTGTCCTCTTTGGCACAGGGTCACGGAACACCGTTCTCCTCCCCTGCCCTCAAGGGTTTGTTCCTCCCAGGGGTTCCCTGGGAAAAGGCCTCTTGCAAGGTAAGGGCTGAAGGCTTACTTATAAGCCCAGCAACTCCCCCTTCCGTAACCGATGTGGGATACCAAGATCTCACAATCCACCCCCCTCAGGGCTGCACGTCCCCGTGTAGCTAGGTCACGGACTACCGTTCTCCTCCCTCCTACACGCTGACCCGTGCAGGGCCCCACACTCGGCACCGCCAAGGGGTCGGCTCTGATACCATTTGTATCACCCCCCCCCACTACCCAGCAAGATATTGTCCTCTTTGGCACAGGGTCACGGAACACCGTTCTCCTCCCCTGCCCTCAAGGGTTTGTTCCTCCCAGGGGTTCCCTGGGAAAAGGCCTCTTGCAAGGTAAGGGCTGAAGGCTTACTTATAAGCCCAGCAACTCCCCCTTCCGTAACCGATGTGGGATACCAGGATCTCACAATTTTGTAACACCCCCCCCCACTACCCAGCAAGATATTGTCCTCTTTGGCACAGGGTCACGGAACACCGTTCTCCTCCCCTGCCCTCAAGGGTTTGTTCCTCCCAGGGGTTCCCTGGGAAAAGGCCTCTTGCAAGGTAAGGGCTGAAGGCTTACTTATAAGCCCAGCAACTCCCCCTTCCGTAACCGATGTGGGATACCAGGATCTCACAATCCACCCCCCTCAGGGCTGCACGTCCCCGTGTAGCTAGGTCACGGACTACCGTTCTCCTCCCTCCTACACGCTGACCCGTGCAGGGCCCCACACTCGGCACCGCCAAGGGGTCGGCTCTGATACCATTTGTAACACCCCCCCCACTACCCAGCAAGATATTGTCCTCTTTGGCACAGGGTCACGGAACACCGTTCTCCTTTTAGGATTGTGAGATCCTGATATCCCACATCGGTTACGGAAGGGGGAGTTGCTGGGCTTATAAGTAAGCCTTCAGCCCTTACCTTGCAAGAGGCCTTTTCCCAGGGAACCCCTGGGAGGAACAAACCCTTGAGGGCAGGGGAGGAGAACGGTGTTCCGTGACCCTGTGCCAAAGAGGACAATATCTTGCTGGGTAGTGGGGGGGGTGTTACAAATGGTATCAGAGCCTAGGCTTTAGGTCTTACATGGGAGCTGTAGGTTATGGACTACCACTAGAGATGTAGGTTTAGGGTGCAGGAAATGGTTGAGTTAAATTTTGTATATGCCTTGTGCTTAAATCAAGACATCCTACATATCATTTTAGTATGTCTTGTACATCAATGAAACTAAATGGTGAATTGATGTGCAGGATGGACGGTGAACGTGTACGTGGACGTGGACGTGGGCGTGGCCGTGGCCGTGGAGGTCAAACATATCCACCACCACCACCACCTCCCGATGCCATGGATGGCATATACCAATGCTTGAGGGAGCTCATCACTTTGGTACAAAACCAAAATGGTAACAACAACCACCACAACCATAATGGTGGAGCACATCCTTTAGCCCAAGTACCGGGCAACAGAGAGGAGACTAGGAGAATGGTAGCTCTCCGAGAGTTTCTGAGGCAACACCCACCTACTTTCCAAGGGAGCTCCAATCCCTTGGATGCGGATAAATGGATCCGCCGTGTGAAGAAGATGTTGGACGGAATGGGAGTGGCCGAGGACTTGCGGGTTGGCTTGGCTATCTATTTGTTGGAGGGGGAAGCCGACCATTGGTGGGACTCGGTGAAAAGGAAAATGAACACGGATGCTCTCACTTGGGCGGATTTTGATCAAGTCTTCCAAGACAAGTACTTCCCGGAATCGGTCCGAGATCGAATGAAGACCGATTTTCTTACTCTACGACAGGGCAGCCTGACTTTAGCTGAATACGAGAAGAAGTTTGATGAGCTATCCCGCTATGCTACGGAGTTCATATCTACGGAGGCCAACAGGGCCAAACGCTTTGAGCAGGGATTGAGGCCTGCCATTAGGGAGAAGCTGGTGGCTCTCAGGATCCGGGACTACGGGGATTTGGTGGACAGAGCTGCACTTGTAGAGAAGGACATGGAGGATACTCAGCGACGACAGGGCCTTATGAGGGGAGGTCCGATCCGGACGGGTGCTAGTAGCAGTGGAGCACAGAGGGCGGCACCCTACCGTCGCTCGGATCAGGCAGGGGGACAGAGACCCCAGATGGGTCGAGGAGCAGGAGGCGTATCGGGGAGGACAGCCACCGACCCCCATCAGTGCTTCGCATGTGGAGGAGTGGGGCACTTCAGACACAATTGCCCATCTCTCCCACCGAGAGACAACCAGGTGACAAGACAAGTGGCTGCAAATAAGCCACTACAGCAGCAGAGGCCTGTAGGAGCTCCAGCCCCAGGTGGCGCCACTCAGGGGAGAGTCTTTGCCTTGACCCAACCGGAGGAGGATGCCTCCAACGCAGTTGTTGATGGTATAATTCTCCTCTATAATTCTTGGGCCCGAATCTTATTCGATCCCGGTGCTACTCATTCTTTTATACGTACTGCATATGCTATGAATTTGGGATTGGGTTTCGAGAAGTTAGAGCATGCCTTGACGGTTGACTTGCCTACGGGAGAACAGTTGGGTACTAGCCGAGTTTGCAAGGGTTGTGTGCTTCGTATTGGGGAGCACGAATTAATTGTGGACTTGATTGCTTTAGAAATGAAGGGGTATGATGTGATTTTCGGAATGGACTTGTTGTCCGCTTTCCGGGCGGTAATGGATTGTTTCCACAAACGGATTATATTTCAGTTACCGGGAGGAGTCGTTTTCAGTTTTATTAATAACCGAGATTCTTCTCATCCATTCCCTACGACGGGTAGTAGATTCTTAAAAGCGAAAGCGGGAAGTCATTTGAGTTTCTTAGCTAGCTTGATGGGAGAAAACCGGGATAAAATTCATACGGATGTAGTGCAAATTGTA